TATCGGTGGTGGGGTCGCTGCTGCGTGACATTTGTTCGGATGAGATCTTTTTCAGAGACGTCCCTTGTTCTTCTTGGATTCACCTCTTCGTCACTGAAACTCATGATCCAAAGCGACAGTATCCTTGCCAAGAGCGCAGTCTTGTGTGACTTCTAATTCCTTCTCAAGAATTAATCCCTTTTTCAGGGGAGGATATCTACCGGGTAATCAAACAAGCTTTTTCACGAGAATATTCGTGGTTAAAGTACTTTCCCACAAACGGCGCCAATCTGTTGACCCGAAAAAATGACTCAGACATGTGGCCAACAGAATAAGTCTTTACGTCACTTCTCTCTACACATGATAGCACACCGTTAGTCACTCGTGGCCTTTTTCCTGTGGGGTTGGAAGCGGCCGCGAGCACTCCGACGGTCAAGTCAGTGTTTCAGCTAATCGGAAAGTTATATCCGGCGGCGAAGTGGTCACTGGGATGTTTATTTATATGTCAAAAGTTATTATGTAAAGCTAGCAAGATTCGGATCCCTTACTCTTACCGGTATGGGGATATTTATACTAGGAAAGGGAAGAGGTTGACCTTTGGATGAAAGGACACGTGGCTTCAGATCCCGTATGAGTCATCATCTCATAGGTGTCAATCCGTAGGTTGGTGGACATTAAATGGTTTCTGACATGTCAGCTAAATTGATCGTTTGTAACTTGCCACAGGTCCCATCAATCAGTCAGGGACTTGACTTTGGAGATCTCCTAAAAGATCTTGGCGAGGGTGTGGCGAGAAGGATTGCGAAGTGCAAAGTGCGGAGTATGGGCCTTTGCATCTGTCGTGAAGGGCGGATGAGTTCGGTTCTTCTATGAGGAGGGGCAACATTGCTTCAGTTCGGAGTTATGGAATCAGTTCGTCCTACATGCATTCAGTTTGTCTGCCATGTGACAACACCATATCGGTTAGATCAACACGTGGAGGATGAGGTGTGTGAACGAGGTGGATGGTTTCAAAAGACCCGTAACAACTACCAACTAGATGCAATGAGAGGAGGGAAACATAACAAAACCTGTGTAGGATATTTGGGATCGATGTTGCAAGTATAAATTCTCATTCAATGTCAAAATATCATGTATTAACCACATATTTCTCATCAATACACTATTCAAATTTTTTTTAATTTTTTTTTACAAAAAATAGGGCTCAAACAAGCCGATTTATAGAGTTACTTTGAAAGCTACTCAGTCTTATTTTATTTATAAAAAAAAATGCAACTTCTTTTCAATATGTCAAACATGTTCTTAAAATAAAATTTATGTTTACATACAAAAAGTTATTCGAAACTAATTTGATACTTTGTTAAAGCCAAGCACGCAAATCCTAAGCTTCAGTAGGTGTTGTTTATATCAATTTTCTGTAGAAAATCTTCAATCCTTATGGTAGAACGCCTCCAGATCCATCCATGTCCACATAGTGGATTGTTTATTATGGTTCGTAGTACTCACTCAATTTTACCCATTAGCATTCCATCCATCAATTTGAAAATTTTGTTTCGTTAGTCGCCAAAGGGTCGAACGAAATTATGATGTCGCATATGACATTCATTAATGAAGACAAATCACCTCCAAAAGCCAACTTGGTATGTAACACATTCTCTAAACACGTCTTTACCTTTCCCAATTTTATCATCCTCGGTTGCATATCATCCTCCATTTTCTCCTCTATCTTCCATATCATTCTCTTCAAGGGTTAAATCCATCAACGGTCACCCAAACTTTATACTTAATATCACCATAGTCATTCATTTTGATTATGGTTTACCATGGTCACCCGACTTTATACTTAGGGTATGTTTGAGTCCCATTTTTTGTGTAGAACATATTTTGAAATAGTAGATTGATAGGGAATGGATTGTTAAAAATGAAGGAAAAGTTTTTGGATTATGTGTAATATTATTTATTTGAGTAATGCGTGGTGAAAAAGAAGAGAGAGAAAAATGCAATTTGAAAAAAATGAGAATCAAACAAGGACTTAGTGCCACAATGGCCACCGAATTTGATTTTGTTTTATAATGGTCATTCAACTTTATATTTAGTGTCATTATGACTACTCGATTTGATTTTATTTCACCATGATCACCCGATTTCATATAAAGTTTCACCATGACCACCTAATTTCATATAACATTTCATTATGATCACCCAATTTCTTTTCAGCATTTTCACTAATTTTAAAAGAGATAAAAAGCAACTTTGTATTATATAATATAAAATAAATTTTAAAAAAATAAATTTTTTTTAATTTTAAAATAAGTTTTTATTTTATTTTTTTAAGGAACTTTTTTTTAAAAATAACTTTTTATTTTATTTATTTTTCTAAGTAACTTTTTTAAAAAAAAAAATTATTTTATTATATTTTTTAAGTAACATTTTTTTAAAAATTATTTTATTTTTTTAAGTAATATTTTAAAATAAGTTTTTATTTTAATCTTTTTTTAAATTTGTTTTATATATATATAATGTAAAGTTATCATTTTACCTCGAAATAGTGAAAAGAAGTGGGTGGTCATGATAAAATTTTATATGAAATTGGATGACCATGATGAAATAAAATCAAATTGGATGAATATCTTGACACTATATATAAAGTTGGATATCCATGGTGAAACAAAGTCAAATTAAGTGGCCATAATTATATCAAGTATAAAGTTGGGGATGGATTTAACCCCTCTTCAATTTTTTCAATTTTATCATCCTCCGTGCAAAAAAAAATAAAAATAAAAAATCAAACATTCCATCCATAGGAACATAACTCACATCAATTTCACCTGCCAAACCATCATTCAACTCTAGGCCATCCGCATCTTCATTGAAAATTGAAGACCCAACTTCCAATTCCAACAAAATGGAGCTCATGCTTTCGTCGAACACATTGTTCGAGCTCCCAAAAAATCCCTCGAACTCTTCATTGGCTTCTGAAACGAACGATTCTGCAAGCTCTTCCTCATAATTTTCAGATGGGTTAGATGGGAAAAATCTTGCGTTCGGACAAAAATCTTGTGTGTATATTTAGGTTTTGAATATGAGTTTTTTGTTTCTATATCAGATCTATTTCAGTTTACAATTGAAAGTTGAGGGAAAGAGAGCATTATTTGCTAATCATCTAAGCCCCTATTTGATACACATTCTCTCAAAATACATTATTTCAAAACTCATTTTCAATCATATATTTTTCAATAAAATAATATTTTTCATCACATCAATAACGTTTCCCTACTTTTTAACCACATATTTCTCATCATATCACTATTTAAATACATTTTTTCCTCAATAATATCCATCAAATACACCCTAAATAATGTTTACTTGGGGTCCTAGAATTGATTAACAATGTGATATGAAAAACAATGACTTTTAACGAATGCTAATCTTCAGGGTGCATCGCAACCAAGAAACTCGGTACTATAATGAGATCATTGGGCAAAATCCGATCGAAGTTGAGCTTCAGGACATGATAAACGAGGTTGGTGCTTATGGTAATGAAACCATTGATTTCCCCGAGTATTCGAATCTTCTGGCCAGGAAGATGAAGGATATCGATTCGGAGGAAGAGCTTACGGAGGTGATGGAGATGAAATTTGATTTGGGGAAAGTGATGGAAATGATTTTGGTTTTGAAAATGGACAAAACGTGTTGATTTTATTTTATTTTATTTTTTTGGGAAGGCAAAAACATGTTTGGAAAATGCCTTACATGCTAAGTTGACTTTTGGAGGGGATCAGAATTCCGTCCACTACATTAGCGACTAATGAAATGGATTTTTCAGAGCGATGTAGTGCTATCGAATAAAGTTGAGTGAGTATTGTGAAGTATAGTGAAGTTCAATGAATAGTCCATGACTATGGTATAAGTTTAGAAGTTCGATGAATGGTCATGACCGTGATACAAGTTCAATCACTTTTGAAACAGTTCACTCAAGCCCACATGAGGCGAACTTGCAAGGATAGAAAATCACAAAAATAAGCGAAAATTGCACCAGCGGTCACTAACATTTTCATTTTTGTAGATTTTACCTTAATTTTCTATTTGTACCCATGAAAGTCCCTAACATTTCAGAAATATGTAGCAGAAGTCCAAACGGATGGCTTCCATCCAATTGATCGTTAATTGACCAAAGAAATTGATTTTAACCAAATTTAAGAAGGATAAAGATAACTTTGCTATCTATCCCCATTTATCCAATAAAATAATAAAGCAAGATAAAAAGAAAAGAAAAGTCTCCTTTCTTCACCCAACCCAACTCAACCCCTAAACCAAACCGAATAAGCCATTTGCCCACCACTACTCGCTACTGTCACAATCACTGTTGTTTATTCCGACGACCTTTCCCTGTCCATTTAATCTTCTTGCCTAAACCCTATTCTTACCTCCATCCTGAACAAAATAAAAATTATGTGGTATTGACGAGATTTGGGAAGAGGAGCAGACGATGGTTCTGAAGAGGGGGGAGGGGGAGGGGGAGCGATGGAAAAGAATATGAGGGTTTTTCTTTTCTTTTTGGGTTTTTTAATTTAATTTATGTGGGATTGACGAAAACATCATTTTTTTTTTTAAATAGTCAAAATATTTATTTTTTATATTGTTAAGGTCAATTAACGGTTAATTGGATGGAAACCATCTATTTGGACTTCTACTACATATTGTCGAAAGATAGGGACCTTTGCTACCACAAATAAAAAGATTACGTAAATTTTGCAAACATCAAAAATGTTAGGGACTGCTACTGCAATTGTCCCTAAAAATAAATTCATCTTTCACATCCGCGCCAATCATTTTTCTTGCTTGGTTTCTTACTCTGTAAGTATGTCTCTCTCTAGGGTTTAGTAATTTATCTCTCTCGCTCTTTCATTTATTTTTTTGGATTTATATTACTTCTGTATTACATCGTTTTTCAAGCTTCTCTCTAGAAATATCTAATTCTGTTCTTGGATATTTGGGTATAAAAGAATTTTAATTTTAGAATGGATTTGGGAAGTGCGAAAAAGAGAGGCAGACCAGACGCTGTGCTTAATGGCAATGGCGGTTTTAAGAAATCCAAATCAGGTTTCGCTGTTATAATTATTATTTTATTCATTTAATTTAGTGCATCTTTATTACATCTTTCGTAGCAACATATGTATTTATGGGGGTTGAAATGTTTATGAAGTGGTGATTAAGTGCTCTTTACGCTTCCATTTGGTCACCAGGGTTCATTTTTTAAGTTCTATAGTGGGTTTCTGTGCCTGTGGAAATTTTTGTTTGAGAAGTTTTATGAGCTGCATTTAGTATTAATTTTTCTTTTGTGTTATGTCTTTATTGGCCATAGAGACGTGTTCAGAAATAGAACCCGGTTAATTTGATTTATCATCAATTGTTATTTGGCTCTTCATTTGTCCACGGTAGTGGGTGGTTCACTGGGAAATCATTGAATGAGTACTCTGTGTCTGGGTTTTAAAAGATTTTTATGGACCTAATTAAGATCAGTGATTCAATGTTTCTTTGCTCGCTAAGGGAAGTCTTCTTGCATAAAATTTTCCAACTCACTGAGGGAGGTCTTCATCTTATTGTCATTTTTCACCTTTACACAATCTTTAACTAGTCCTGTCAATATTTATTAAAATGTATACAGGTTAATTTATAATATTGTGGATTATGGTAAAATATCATATGGCTGTTAGATGTTCATGGAAGTTCAAAAGATTAATAAGTCACAGAAATTTTAACTGAGGAAAACAATTAATGTTCTGCAACAGAAATGGAGTCCTTTACAACTGGTATAGGAAGCAAATCGAAGCCTTGCACAAAGTTTTTCAGGTTCTAATCTTAGCCTATCTAAAAGTAATGCTGTAAGTGCAATTTCTATATGTTGGTAATGATTGTAAAATCCCTGAATAATTCATCTCATTTACAGTAAATATTAGCATCACGTGAACTAATGAATTGGACATCTATAGTTGTGATACAGGTCTTACGCTTCATCTAATTGATAATGATGGATATTGAATGGAAAAGGCTGACATGAGTTCAATCGAATTAATTTGCTCAGACAAACGTCACCCAGTTTATTGAATGGATATAGGCTGATTTGTGAAAGCACTATCTATTTATCCACTTGCATGATTCAATTCTAAAGATATTTGGTGGGAATGCTATTATTTTGCCTCCATGTGCTTCAACTACTGTTGATTATGTGCAATTTTTTGTTGCAATCTTGCTGAATGATCAGTCTAATGATTTGTAATCAAGTATGTCATTCCTGTCGCTTGACAGTATAATCCTCTCTGAAACAGTTTATGAATGGCAGAAGGTTTCAAGATTTTAGGGATTATGGTACTCAGCAGTCATCTATTTTGGAAAATTTAGAAGAGATTACTTCAAAGAAAGCATGTTGACTTGCATTGCTTGTAGACTTGTAGTTATCTCTCACTGATTTTTAATTGTTGATGCATGCTAAAATATAGTAGGTAGCCTTTTTTGTTTGAATAAGCCCTTGTTTGACAACTGCTAAAATGAGTTATTTATTTATTTATTTTGGGGTGGGGAATGAGAGTTGAAATATTGATTTTTTAGAGAATGTATAGTTAAAAAGTAGAAAAAATTTGGGTTTACGTGCAGAATATTTTATTGTGAGAATGCGTGGTTGAAAATGAGTTTAAGAAAAATGTGGTTAAAAAATAAGAAAAATTTTGGGTTTACGGCAGAATATTTTATTGTGGGAATATGTGGTTTAAAATGAGTTTATAAAAAAAAAAAAGGAGTTTTGTTTTAGTGGTTGTCAAACGTGGGCTAAGTGGAGAGTTCTTATGAACTTGGATGCAAATTATATTTAGTAGTGTCAATGTGCTTGTGAAATCCAGTTGCATCTGTCTCTTCTAAACATGCTAAACTTTTCGTACATGACTTTTAGCATGTTAAATATTTGGTATAGGAACCTTATAAGCTTAGCCAAACATGCTTTTCATCTCGACTAATATGAATCTGTCTTAACTAATTGAAATTTATACACTTTAATGCCTTAAATTCTTAGGATGACAAGTAATTTTCTAAATTTCTTCATTATTGACTCTTGGATTGGTTTTTTAATTAGAATTGAATTTCCATTTCCCCTCGTTGGCCACCTTCTTCCTTATGGTTTGATTGATGGATAACTTTTAATCATCCTGTTTCCTCAAATTTCTAGAAAGTTTGGACTCTGATAATAAGCTTGTTAAAAGAAAGTTCGTACCTGGATTGCTTGGGAATTCCTTTCGAAGTGGAAGCTATATAGGATGCTAGTGGGGCACAGTGGAAGCTATATAGGATGCTAGTGGGGCACAGTCATTATATAATATTTATTAACTCTTTGCTCAATTAATCTTTTAAACATGGTATGCACCCCGCAATGTACCACTCATATATCACCACCTATTTTATTTTAAAACATTGCTCTGGCACCTTGATGGCCCACGACCAAGAAACAAATTTCTCTGATCTCTCTACGCTCTTCTGATGAAGCTATGAAGTTCTGAAATGCTACTGATTAGCCACTCTAAAACTTCTCTAGCTATTGGTATTTTTCTATTTTCACCTTCAAGAAACACCAAATCTTCCCTGTTTTCTTGTTTCTTTTACTGATTTAAGTGAAGCTTGGAAGAGTTGGTAAGCAGGTCAACAAAACCCATGAAATGACGTGATAATTAGCGCAATGGCTGACTCACAATCCAACTCAGAGACTAGTTACATGTTGCTATCCCTAAATTATCCTAATTATGTGCATATGAAATGTATATTTTTAATCGAATTTGTACAGGACAATAAGAAACTAAGGGGCAAAATAGGTGGCAGAAGTAGAATTGTGGAAGACTCGTACAATGAACTAGTCTGTACATATTTTTGGTATGGTACAAAAAATATACGTCACAAATCTTCAACTTTTCTAAGGTGCAACAAGAACATTTTATGGAGCTTCAGAATTCTATTCTTTGAACTTAATATAGTTTTTGTACTACAATGATTTCCAAGCAAGGTACTGGTTCCATGAAACAGAAATGTCCAAAATATTTCGAAGAATAATGTTACTGAAAAGCATTAAGCCCCCGTTTAACAACCATTATTTGGGAAAAATAATGTTTTGAATAGTGATTTTTAGGAAAACGTGTGGTTAAAAAGTAAGAAAAGTTTTGGATTTACTTGTAAAATATTTTATTCTGTGAATGTGTGGTTGAAAATGAGTATTTAGAAAAATAAATTTTCAAATAATGTTTGTCAAATCGGGGCTAAATATGAAGTATATGCCGTTCGCTATTTAGCATGTGATTCAATACCATATCCAGAATGTGTTTTGTGTGTGAATCCTTTTTCCATTCCTCCTATGTATCTGATTTCATTGGTATGCAGTGCTTCTGGGTGTCCATTTGGTGAAGGATGCCATTTCTTGCACTATGTTCCTGGTGGCATTAAAGCTGTTACTCAGATGCTTGGCAGCAATCCAGCCCTTCCACCAGCTGCCCGAAACCCAGTTGTATCGCCGTCTTTTCCAGATGGATCATCCCCACCAGCTGTCAAAAGTCGGTTATGCAACAAATACAGCACAGCCGAAGGGTGCAAGTTTGGTGACAGGTGCCATTTTGCCCATGGTGAGTGGGAGATCGGCAAGCCAACAGTTCCATCCCATGAGGATCCTCGTGCTATGAGACAAATGCCAGGAAGACATGGTGGTGGCAGTCGATTTGAACCAACCCCACCAGGTGCAGCCAGCTTTGGAGCCTCAGCCACTGCTAAAATCAGTGTGGATGCTTCTCTTGCGGGAGCCATCATTGGGAAAGGTGGCGTCAACTCAAAGCAAATCTGCCGCTTGACAGGAGCCAAGCTATCAATAAGAGACCATGAGTCTGATCCGAACTTGAGGAACATTGAACTAGAGGGCACTTTTGATCAGATCAAACAAGCGAGTCAAATGGTACGGGAACTTATAGTGAATGTTAGTTCTGCCTCTGGGCCACCAATGAAGAACCCTGTGTTTCCTGGCCCATCTCCTGCTAGCAACCGCAAGACCAAACTTTGTGAAAACTTTGCCAAAGGGTCCTGTACTTTTGGAGAAAGGTGTCACTTCGCACATGGTGCAGAAGAATTGCGGAATCCTCATGTCTGAGCTTTTTGTTTTGTGTTTTTCTACTTCTTTGCTCTTTCTTTTGGACTTGTAGCTTGATCCTTTTGTGGTCTTGGTGGTGGTGTTTTTTTTCCTCAGAACTGGATGCATTAGAATTTTTATATTAGAACTCTGTAGGTTTTTTTAAGATATTAAATGCTTTCGCTATATTTTGTGCTGCTCATGTTTCACTGATCCAGATTTGAATACCATAATCCTACTGGATCATTTTTTGGAAGTGCGATGAGGTGTGGTTTGGTAATGTAGGGCTTGTCTCGGTATACATACATTTTACAATGTACAAATACATACTGCATCCAAGTATATGTGGATGTGGACGGGAAGAGACAAAACTGTCAATTTCTTCCTGATTTTGGACAGTTTTTAAATGAATACACTTTTCCGCCCACAATTTTTTGAATTCTAACGGGATGTACATAATGAGTCAACCCTGCAATGTACAGTTAGCATTATTCATACTGTAAATAGAACAATAATGCTAAATGTACTCCTTTACATTCTATTTGACATTGCCTTTATTTTTTGAAAACTATTGTTGTTTTTAAACAGTCCAATGATGTTTTGTCATTTCACACAATGTAAAGGAATACGTAAAAGATAATGTGTATGTACCATGGTTGTTGTGGAGAACTTTTTGCTGTCTACCGATGAAGACGAAGACGGTTCAACGAGTGACCTCACCGTTGGAGATGATTTTGAGTCAAAGAGAACAACTCTAAAGATGCAACAAATCAAACGGCAAAAATCACCTGTAGATTCATCAAAAAGGAAAAGGAAGTTTCAAGATAAGAAATTAAAGAAGAGGAAAAGAGCAAATGGAACGTAATTGAGTTAATTTATATACATCAGATGAACACACAAGCGATGATACTACGTTTCGATGAGCCAATTTTGTCTTGTGGCTTCCATTTTGTAGAATATATGACACAGTCTCCCCCTCCATTCCTTTAGTTTTTCATCATTTGATTGGTGAATTGTTTCATAAAATCACGCCCAACTATTTGGTTGGATTTTGCCTTTTGACTTTTATTTCTTGGAGATGAGTTTTGGCTCCACTATTTGTTGATTCCACATCAGAATTACCACGAATCAGTGTTGAGATCTAAGGTATCTATTATTTTTTGAACCTACTACAGAAATTCGAAGTCAAAGGAAGATAAAAAGGGGCTCTCGGTTTGATTTCCCCCATTTTAGGGTTAATTTTGTAAAGTTGTTCGTCTATTGTCTACGTTCATTTACGGCAAAAATATTCTCGAGTAGTGAACTTTAGTGCCATCACTTGCCTGAAAATCCGCACATCAAATTTAGCTATGTGACAAGTGGATGAAGGTAGCCAAAAATGACAATGGATCATATGCCGCATGTTGAATACGAGAGGCTGCAAAATTAAAATCCTTCCTTTTAAGACATGGTGACTCAAGACATAATTGGAACTCGAATTGTTGCAATGGACTCTAAATGTGACGTGTGCCAATGATGAATGATAGCTAAGCGTTGAATTCACCATCATCGAGATTAACTTTGACTTATCTTCGACTTAAAGGATTTAATAAAAATTTATTTATTAACTGGACTACCAACCCGGAAAACAACGAATTTCTTGTTCATGTACATGTGATAACTTTTGGGGACCACCTGCCACCGAAGCATGCTAATCATGATAAAGTATAAGCAACCCATCATTTCAATATCTTTTATAGAACAATCCCCAAATGAATGTAAAATATAAGAAGATGCAGCGAGCCCATTTGACTCTATGGATGTGACACAAAATGACTTATTCAAAACATGTACCCGAAAATCTATTAGCAAGTTTTTTAAGTCCAAATTATATAATTGACAATTTTTTTTAGTCAAAATCAAGTTCTAGTTGAATTATATTAGGATTTAATTATTTTGTAATCAAAATCAAATTAGAATTAGAAGAGTCCAAGTTATGGTAAAATTAGTGTAGGGTTGATAGAGTCCAAAAAGAAGATCAAGATTCAGACTTGTAGAAGTTGAAATCGAGTAGGACGCAATTTTGCTAGCCTATCGCCCAGCCGGCGTTCGAGCAGCAGAAGCAGAATTGTCGTTGCCCGACTAGTGTTAGACTGGCGCTCGAGTGTTTCGCTCGTCTGTCGCTGGCCTTACGCTCAAGCGACAAGTCGACATCCAAAATTCTGTTTGTTTTAAAACGTGTGATTTTCATCCCTATTTGAACTCAAGCATTTTTCCCTATACATATCCTACCCTATGAACATCTAAAATGGTGTTGAATCATATTTTCCATAGAGATAATTTATTTGAAGACTCAAAACACATTCATTGATTCAAATATTCAACAAACATGTTATTTGAGCCATAAATTCATCTAAACTTTGTGAGCTAGGCATATTGTTTCATATAAAATCACAATATCAAAACACACAAAATCTTTTGATCAAACAGTTGGATGTCAGGAGCACGCAGTCCATGAGAGCTAAGGTATAAACTAGGATTTGAGATTTGTTTTGAATGAGCATACCTCCAATAAAATCAAGGGAGCATGTAGGGATTTAGCTAAGAGGTTCTACGGGGTATACGAGTCTAAACGGTACTGTAAGTTTGCTTCGATTTATAGTGGATTATTGATTGGCAAAGTGCCCGAAGTTTTTACCCAATAGGGTTTCTTCGTGATCATCTTTGATGTTCTTTATTACTTTAATTATTGATTGTGGTATTCAAACTTAAGATAAATTGATTTGTTTGATCTAACCATCTAAAAACAATTAAAAAATGACTTGTTATTTTTAATTATATAATTCTGCATGTTGGGTCTAAATAAATCGGCTAATTTAAAACTTTCAAAGTTGATTTCAAATCTTCATCAAATTGTCAACATGTCTCTGTTCAACTTTCTAAGCATTAACCTCAATTGGAATGTAAAAAAGGTTGAAGATCAATTTGTTTTTTAACATTAATACCAATTGGCCACTAGAGCAACATTTCGTGCTCTGAACACTTCAACAATTCACTACTAGAAAGGAGATGTACACAATCAATTTTGTCAACTATCGTGTTTAATTTAATATAATCCACTTTCAACTTACCAAATAAATTATCAAAAAATGGAACCAGATGATTAGTGCAAGCTTCAAATTGTACAAGCACTAATGCAGTAAATAACCACTGAATAGTCACTCATCACTAATCTCTAAAATGTGTTGTTCGCCGGTAATATTAAAAATTATAAACATGGAGATAGGGTGCAGCCACCAAACATCAGTGATCAGACCACTTAAACTCAAAATTCCTTATATTCAATGTATCTAAAAAAAAATTATATATTCCTTAATCGCTCCAAAATCATGTCTATAAATTAACCTTCAAGGTCATTCAAGGCATTTGAACTCGATTTCTAACATTTTTTCCCGAATTAGAAACCATGCAGAAATCATACAAATTGACTTACGTTTATTTTGTTCTAATGTGTTCGATGTTATTTGTAGCAACAAGGTCTCAGCTGACTGATGATTTCTACGTGAAAACATGTCCAAATCTGTTTAATATTGTTCGTAGAGAGGTTCGAAATGCAATCAAGTTTGAGATGAGAATGGCAGCTTCTTTGCTTCGGCTTCACTTCCACGATTGCTTTGTTAATGTGAGTAAAGAAACCGTGTTGTAACTATAGTTTAGATTTTTTGTTAATTGAAACAAAGTTCTCCCATGCTGGTAGGTCACTTTGAGCTATAAAAATTTTCATGTGCGTCATGCAAAAATACTAAGTCCTACCACGTTAGGAAGGTGTAAAAAGAATGGCGGGTCATGTCAATCCATTCAATCATGCTTTGTTGCACTCCAAGTTTGACAATTTGCCTCGTTAAACAATTTTTTAAAAAAATTTGTTTTCCCGCCAACAATTTTTTTTAAAAATGAAGCAAGAGTCTAACATGATGTACACTTTGGAGCGTACACATGACATTTCCCCAATCCATTAGGCATGATACAACTATTTGGGTTTTCGGGATACGGGCATTTTTGCTCAGCCCTAATTTTCACGACCTAGGCTAGACTTGAGAGTGGGTCGGCCCACAGAGGGTCAACGCCATGCCTATGCTGAACTCATTTTTACACCTCTACGAGCAGACCGGTTTGGTCATAGCTTATGCATCTTTGGTCACTTATAATTGCATTGATTTTGTTTTGACTTGTTAGGGGTGTGATGCATCACTTTTGTTGGATGGAAATGACGGTGAGAAATTTGCAGCCCCCAACCTGAATTCAGCAAGAGGATATGAAGTAGTAGATTCAATAAAGAATGCTGTAGAGAGTGCATGCAGTGGAATTGTTTCATGTGCAGATATATTGGCTATAGCTGCCAGAGATTCAGTGCTCCTGGTCAGTACTTATCGCTTACTCCTCATAGCATATCTGTACGAGATTAAAAAGAAGTAAAAGTTGTTTTTAAAAAAGAAAGAGAAGCAAAAAATTTGTTCATTATACACCACTAGACAACTAATAATTCTAAAATTTTATCATGTTTTATCACATACAACTTAAAAAACATGTATTCGCAACGTGTTAGTAAGCAGTAGTGGATTGGACTTGACCATGTGAGTCTAGTCATGTTCAATATTATCGACCAAATACGAACTTTTGCTATGTTCAATAAGGTGAACAGGGCAGTAAGCACTTCAAAATAAAAAAGAAACTAAAATCTTGTTCATTGTATTGTTCGATATAGTCTAATACAGACACACTTGTTTTAGAAGAATGAAACTAATTAGAAGCAAATTTTGCAGAGTGGAGGGCCTTCATGGAAGGTTTTGCTTGGGAGAAGAGATGGATTAGTGTCAAATCAAACAGGAGCCAATATTTCATTGCCTTCTCCCTTTGAACCTCTTGAGGCAATCACTGCCAAATTCGTAGCTGTTGGCCTCAATACCACAGACGTTGTGGCCTTATCAGGTACTCTGCACTTTCTTCAACAATAGATTGTCAAACTTCTCCGGAAAATATTAAATAAGAAAAAGAATTTAATATTTTCTTCACAGTACTAAAAGTGTCAGTAATTAATACGAACATGAACATGCAATCTTCACGTATAGGTGCGCACACAATCGGGTTATCAAGATGTGCTTTCTTCAGCAATAGATTGTCAAACTTCTCCGGGACGGGCGCTCCAGACAGCACACTGGACAGCACCCTAATTTCTGAACTACGAGCTGCATGTCCAGTAAACAGTGATGGAAACAACACAGTTCCTCTTGACAGGAACTCAAGAGACTTGTTTGATAACCATTATTTCTCAAACTTGCTCAATGGGAGGGGCATTCTTCTTTCCGATCAGACTTTATTTTCCAGCGATGCTGCAGTGTCAACAACCAGAAGTCTTGTGCAACTCTACAGTAATAATTCTGCTTTATTCTTCAGTGATTTCGTTAATTCGATGATTAGGATGGGGAACATAAGTCCGGTAACTGGATCGAATGGACAGATTAGAAAGAACTGCAGAGTCGTAAATCCGTAAAATATTTCTCAGATGAAAATAATTTAGATGTTTAGTGATATAGAATGACGACGTTTGTAACATACATATTATCACTGAATGCAATATCATGTTCACTTTCGTGGATCACCTTCGCCTGTTAATATCTTATTCTTCCTTAACACTCCAGTTCCCCCCTTTCCCTTCTCCCCTGCGTCACTGACTCGGAGCAGCTCGGAAGACATCCTGAGTTGCTAAGCAGCAGGGGATTGGGGGACAGACTCACCGATAATTCTGGTGTCACAAGGTGATGCCAATTCAGGGAGATCAGTGTAGGAACAAGAAAAATGACTTCCCATCAAACTTTTCTTACCAGTAAACGGAAAACACTGCATAAATCATATGATGCGTTGGCTCGATCCCACGAACCACACCCTGTTGTACTTTCAACTACTGCTAAAATACTATATCTTGAGTTAAATTTTCTTTTTCTCGGTTATAAACAGGTATAGGGGGGAATGTCAAACCATCCAAAAAAAAAATTAAAAAATTTCCCGTCAAGAGGAAGTAGAATTACACTAGTGTTTGTGCAACAGTACTGTTAGCAGATATTCATGCCTGAATTTGTTAATTTGCCTATGAAGCTGTTGTGTTTTGTACTTTCTGCTGCAGTTGTTTTTGTTTATGTCTCAACAGTAACTGAGAAAACATGATCTCATTCCATGTATCTGGAACACCAGGAAGGCACCAATGGCTACAATCTTGGTGCCTGACGAACTCTTGCTTCTCCTCTTCTGTCATGTTCGGTTGCCTGTTGCCGAATACATAATTTAAAATAAATAAACGTGTCCCATAACAGCTTAATATTTTAGATGATGGGGTTCAATATAATACAAAAGATAGACTTTTAATTAGAAAAAATGAATCTATCCTACACCTGAGTTGTGCTTGGAGACTTGTTTTAAATAAACAGATTTGTATCCATTCTAATATCTTAATCTTTTAGAAAAAGGAGTTCAGCACCTGTATATTGAGGGGTGTGCATCCCGGCGAAAATCAGTCATTCTTGTAATGTTCAAATAGAACACAGTTTGTTTCATCCCCTTCAGGACATTCTCCAACATATCCGGAATTGGAGGAAATACAGGCGTTAGCTCTTCTTCATTTGTGATTGGCTCTGTATCACTATCGCATTTTCCACCCGAATACCATTCTCCACCACTGTAAAAATGATCAAGAATGAGAAATGGAAAATAAATTAAAAATCACATTTTCTCGTTCAGTGAATTCCTGGGTGAATTTAGAATCAATACGGAACTTGATTCACCTGAAATGGGAGACTGAGTAGCCTCTAAAGAAAACGTGTGTCTTTATAGGATTTATGTTGGATTCAATCCATCTAGCCCATGTTGTCATTGCTTTACGAAATGCTTCAGTTACGTTCAATTTTCCATAAACATGGCTTCCTTCTTGATAGTATCCTTTGCTGCAAGATTTTGATGAATTTTGAAATAACTCAATCAATATTTTTTTATAAAAGGGGTTCAATAAGAAACATGCCAAAGATATATGCTAGAAATCATGCGGGCATATATATGTACATGTTCTTTGAGATAATTGTAGCATGTCTCCACCTTACAAGTTTCTTCACAACAAACAGATGTAAGAGGGTGTCTTGGATAGCATAAGGCCTCCATTCATATGGAAAAGGACGAGACTGACTACAGAAAATTATCTCACGCGCATGCACACGGGGGGAGAGAGAGAGAGCAATACCCTTCAGATGTTTTCTCATGCGTCCACCAGTGTCCCGTGTTAAAGACAAGAACATCTGCATCTTTGTATTTGTCGCATGATCTCTCAACCAGATCAAGTCTAAGGGTTTCCTTCTTTGTTCCATTGTTGTCCGGCATTTTCCATTCTTGAACCAAGAATGGAGATCGAATGAACTCCACCGAACAATTATAATCCTACTCCATAAATTCAACAGACTTTTTAATCGGGGAATATATCAACAGAAACATTGGATACAAGAAATCAAAATGATTAAAATCATAGGAATTTCCAAACCAGATTGATTAAGTATTTTTATCCTAATTAATTCAGAAATGCGCACGACTATAGCATGTTTCTCTCCGCTTTAAAAAAGATGCCTTTTTCATCTTATTTGGGCAGTACGCAGAAACATATTGCCCAAATAGTCAGCCAAAAGGGATGCTTTCAAACAGGGCCAGGCATGTTATTAAACTAAAAGAACGCTATGAGAAGCAAGAACTCACAGCGAATACAAAGGAGTAGGCGCCTTCTTTCTTGAATTCGTATTTACCAGAGGCCTCAAAGACTTTGCTCTTATCCTCTACTGAATTCCAGAGAAGACAAACCATGGATTCCCACATGTTCCTATTCAAAGAATCGCCGACGTACACTAAACGCTTCCCTCTCAATAATTCCAACATATCTCTACCACTCAACCTGCAAAAGAAATAAACAAAAATGTACATGCAAGTGCATATTAACTAATAACACCACAACTTCCCCATAAATTTAGAGACGGCTGCATTAATTTTTTCTCTACTTCATTTGTTAGGTTCATTGCTAAATCTATGAGGAGATATAAAGCAGCATTAACTAATGAGGCACAGAGATAAGGTTTCAGAATGTTCTTCTTTCCTTGGGTGTGTTGAGCCATTAAAAGACAAGATGTCGATCAGATGAATATAGTCTTGTTTTTGTTCTAAAATGTTAAGAACATATTCTTTACGAATTGGTGTGATTCTGATAGAATAATTCAGGAGGGTTTATACAATAACTAACATAAACTTAGTCGTCAAGAACTTCTAGTATATATAGAAATGAACGGGACGAATGAAACAGATTTATGTAATAACCGTGCTCAAATTTATCGAGAATAAAACATAGTCCATAATTTTCTTCTTGCCTTGGGATGCTGCAATGATTCGGCTGCCATGTGTACTTCTCAAAGCCATTATCAGGCCTTCCATTGAGATAACAGTTGAAAGGTTCATCAATATAAGGACATGAACCCGGTTGATATGAAGGATTCAAATCCTCCCTGACCCATTTCCCATCAAAAATATCACATTTACTCATCGTTTTCACCCAAGTCTCGTTCATCTCTACCTTTGATTCAAAATCTGTACTGTTCAATCTGACATTCTCCTTTCCAGCCCTTTTTACCCCATAATCATCAACCTCATTCACCAACTGACCCATTTTCGTCAATGTCCCGTAACTCCCGTTTTGAGAAACAGGATCAGACCCCTGCATATCAGGGTTGTGTAGGGTGTTTTGATGGAAAAAGAAATAGTTAGATACAGACGAAAACTGGGACCTGTTACTCAATATATTCTTCAAGGAATGATTAGTGGATGAATTATTGGAAATGTAAAAAATGGTGCATCCGACAAAAAAGAACATGAAAGCAAACGCTAATAGCGGTCGCGTCCCGAACGTTGGAGAAGATGAAAGCATGCTCCTTTTTAGCGTCCTTTCTGGTAATTTTGTCATTGGTAAAACTGTTGGTGATGAAGGATCCGCCATTGGAGAAGAAAATTAAGCTGGAAAGAGAAAAATAATGAGATTTTGAGAGAGATGTTGGAATTGAATTACTGATTTGTTGATTTCTACTTTCGATTTGAAAACCCGGAATTGACTCGGTTAAATAATCCTTTTATTGCGGGAGCTTTTTATATCGACCACCATTCAATTTATTCATCTAACAAAATTGATTCAACCCTTTTCAAATTTTCATCTTACACACTTCGACTCGACCCAGAGGTGTTCAAATGTGCCACAGCCAGCAGGACCCAGCTCACAATTGGTCGTGCTGGGTTTAACTGTGGAAACTCACAGCCGATACAAGCTTAAAAGCTCCGTCAAAAGCGACTCAGCTCATGAAGGAAACTCCTGCCAGTGTGATCACAAGTCATCAAAAGTTCCTTGTAAATTTCGACCAAAATTGGTGCCAAAATTAAAGACCAAATGCACATTATTATCAAAATTGATGCAAAACAAAAGGTTTACATCAGAGTAGTTGAGTACATAGATTATTAGAACCTGAATTTCAAATGAGAAATCCTCCCAGAAATAATTCAGAAACTCCAATCCCTACTCTACATTCAGATCATTGCAACAATCCCTATAAATTTATGAAGAAACCCTTAACCTTGAGGGTGTGATTACAACATAGCCATATTATTATTGATTTGTAAGTTGAGCTCCAACGAAGAACTCAGATTCCCAATAGAATTACAATCCAGCATTTTTCTCCAATTTTTGAATTTGGTTCAGGAATATCCAGGTCATCTGCAAAGGATTACAAACATTGTCAGCGAGCAAGTTTGGAAAATGGAGGTCGATAAAGAGATGCACATACAGAGAGAGTTAAAGAGGGAGTACCATGACATGAGGGGCAATTCGAACACAGTATACGGGAAATCCAGTGTAAAATTTAAAAGGTCCTCCTGCTTTCAGGGTTTTCATGGCACAATCTAAAGAACCAGTATACGGAAATTTCCCTTCAGCGTCCGGCTGCATTTTCTGTATTTGGGTTTTGACATAATCAAATGGTAAACTGCAAGCAGAAGCAAAAAACCCCGATACAGTACTCGCCCCTGAAAAGAAACAAGAATAGATTAAATTATGCAAAATCCAATGTAGAGTAATGTCTTGATTATGCTTCAAATTTTATCCGTGTCAAAAAAGAATCAACTAGAATGACTAACCAAACGAAACATTATTGTTCTTCACATTTCATTTTCTGTTTCTTTTTTCTTTTTCATCTTATTCAAAATAAGCATAATTTTCCTTCATAAACATAAAACATGTTGTAATCAAAATAATAATGATAATAATAAAGTATTACTCAGAGGAAGAAGCTACGAGCAATTCCCAAGGTTCATTTAAGTATGTGAAATAGATGATTTGCAAAGATAAAATTGTACCAATGCGGCCGCTTTAAAGGTGCAAAGACATGACGATAGTTAGACAAATTATTTGAACTGGTGATTCCAAATTTTCTGATAAAATCAAATGCAAAAGGGAGTATTCTCCATGTGTAGTCTACTAGACATGCTATGACATCTTCTCATCAATACCTAAAAGTTCAAAACTTTAGAATCCAATCCACATGTCATCATGCACAATTGCACATATACTGAAAATGATAAGTGCTGAAAGAGAGAGCATGTTTAACTAAGCTTAGAAAGTTTACTTATAAGCAAATAAGTTTGTTATAGAGTAACTTCAAACTGGAAATAAGCAGGTCACTTATTTTGAGATAACTTCGGAAATAATTTGAAAAACAGTAACCTTATTTAAATTATCAAGACATTTTTTTAAACAAAAGTATTTAAATTATATTATACTTTTAGAAGCTTAGCCAAACAATAATGAAATGGAAGCAGAACCAACACGAGCGTAGACAGGTTCAACAGTGTTTTTACCTATCACAGTAGCAGCCTCGCCACAACCAAGATTGTCCTTGAAGAACTCCACACTTTGATCATAAGAAGCAAGCATTCCCATGTTAAGTGCCATAGCCCTCACTACAGTAGGGCCGGCACCTTTCCAGAGTGCCAAAACTCCCTCATCAGCAACAATTCGAAAGAGGGCATGAAATGCATTTGTATAATTCCGGCGCTGAGCAGCAGGTAACGTCGCATCAGCCTGCATGCGGATAAGTGCTAAATCTGCAGGACTACCTACACACGCTCCTATGGCTCCCGCGGTCAACCCACATAGAGCTTTCTGATATAGCGGTAAAGGCTTCCCATCATTGGCTTCAATTGCCTTGTTAGTCAAAATCCTATTGAAGGAGAAGATTTTCCAAATAGTCAATAACAACAACAGTGTTATTTAAATTACATTAGATTTTAAAGTATTATATAGCTTAAAACATGTAGATCAATGGTGCAAGATTGTTCATATTACAATCAAAATGTTTAATCTTAGATATGGAAGATATTTATATGGTGTAAGTAACAACCCCTGCAGAAAACCAACTTGATTGATTCAAAACAAGCCTCTTGTTTAGACATTCTAATGCATTTCTTCGTATCGACTAATCATACACATCACAATAACTTTATACGGTTGGCTATATTTATAATTGCTCACCTAAACGAACCAAGACGGGCGGTTGTATATGTAGCTTGTCTAAGAAGGCCAGCCGACAAACCCTGCAGAAACAATAATAACAATATTCATAAAAGAAGGTAATACTTTGACATCAGAAGAACAATCGCAAAACTTAAAAGAGTTTAACTATCATAAAAAAGGGAATGATTATTCAGGTCTTTAAAATAAAATCACAAGGGTAAGCATATTGCAGGATGAATAAACCAGTTCAAGAGAATATGTTCTCAGATTCTCCGTCAATCTACCATAGAAACTGCTGGCAAAGAAGTTAAAAATATCAAAATCCATTACAATTGATTACTGGAGAAGATAGGAGTCTGCCTGAACTAATTTCCTTAGTGCCAACTGCCAACCAATTTAAAAGAAACAATAAGACGAGCCAAATGTAATGAAACATGTCGTGAGAAGGCCGACTATGCCATCACAAATGCTGCCACAACTTCATGACCCAAATCAACTAAAGGTTCATCTTTTAGCGCATATCTACTACTTCAATACTACAAATTGAAAATTGAAGTGTAAAATTTTCTCTAGTAAGGATCAATAATACCAACAAAAAACAAACCTTGTAGAAGGCACCAATTCCCTCATTTTTAAGCATGGTCCTGGTCACCTCACCAGCGGACCCCTGACCCAATTGAATTCTCACCTGCAATGAGCATTATAGCATCACAGATCAAACTCAATAACCATCAACTCATTCCGATTGACAATTTCAGTATTTAATTCAAAATCCATCAAATAATTAGATCCAAACAAACCCTTAAGGATGCCGTTTTTCCTTAACTGAATAAGGTTTGAAGCGAACTGTTAGTTCAAGCAAAACAAGGTTAAGCCAAAAAACTCATTTACCTGAGATCTAAAACTCATCTGAACATAAAGATTTTAAACAATTTAATCGTTTCATATCGAAATAACATACTGTCAAATTCCCCCCAAAAACTGAAAAATAATTATTCGAAAACGGCCAATTTTGATTCAAGATCTAAAAAGCATCCTAAGAACCTAAAGTTCATTTAAGAAACAACAATTTTGAAACAAATTCATTCACGCACAAACACATGATATGCGTGTACACACCCATTGTTTTCTGGGTTGTTACCTTGATCATATCAATGGGTTGGATGACACATGTAGCAAGCATACCAGAAGCACCACCATTCACAAAGGGCTTCACAGTTGGCCACACTCCACCTGATTTTGGCTTCTCCTCTCCCATTATTTCTTCTTTTCTCCCTCTCTTCCTTTTCTTTTGTCACGATTTCGGGCAGGAGGAGAGAGGGAACTTTCTTGGTGAAAAAAACGATGTTTTGCGTT